GCATATGGCACCACTGCTCTTCACTGGTTCTATTCTGCATTTTCTTCCATATCGTTCACTCCAGTACGTTGTTATTTTACTGTGTAGATTTGGTACTTGGCCCTCCAGTATCTTCCACGTGTATATTATATGATATCTCTCTCGTCTTCTTTCTAGTGAGTACATTTGGAGGGCTTTGAGACGATCCCAATAATTTAGGTGCTTTATCGCGTCTATGCGTGCCGTATATGTTCTCTGTATTCCCTCTATTTCAGCAATCTCTCCTGCTCTGAAGGGGGAAGTGAGTACTGAGCAGTACTCAAGACGGGATAACACAAGTGACTTGAAGAGTACAACCATTGTGATGGGATCCCTGGATTTGAAAGTTCTAGTAATCCATCCTATCATTTTTCTGGCTGTCGCAATATTTGCTTGGTTATGCTCCTTAAACGTTAGGTCGACAGACATTATTATTCCCAAATCCTTTACATGCTGTTTTCCTACTATGGGTACATTTGATTGTGGTTTGTACTCTGTATTATGTTTAAGGTCCCCATTTTTACCGTACCTGAGTACCTGGAATTTATCACTGTTAAACATCATGTTATTTTCTGATGCCCAGTCGAAAACTTTATTAATATCAACTTGAAGTTTTTCAATGTCTTCAGCCGAGATAATTTTCATACTGATTTTTGTGTCATCTGCAAAGGATGATACGAAGCTGTGACTTGTATTTTTGTCTATATCTGATATGAGAATAAGGAAAAGCACTAACACACTAACTGACGTTAGTGTGTTCACATTGTATTACGAGTCCTAGACAACGAAATAATGTTCAATTTTGTATAGAAAAATAATCATATTTATTTCATATTAAAAATATTCCCGCAAGGTGTTCCTAAGGCTTTACATATAGGCAACTATATGTAATCTAACCAAACCTAGGCCTAATTGTACAAAACATAACCAAACTATCAAAACAAGCTAAGCCTAAAGGAGTGCAAAACTGCTTTTATATTTGAAAATAATATTCTTATCTGTTCTATCATGCTGTTGGTGTTGGGGATATTTCCTTCCTGGTAAGTGGGACGCTTCATGTTCTAGTGGTGGTGTTGGTCGTCTTCCATTGTTTATATATGTGTTATTTTTATTCAAACTTATTTTTGTTTATTTTAATTTTATAGGTATTGTGGAGGATATTTTGTCTCTGGCTTTATTAAGGTTTATACTGAGGATACTGAGGTCTATTGAGTCTTCGTTGGGGAGGCGTAAACTCTAGACGGATCTAAAACCTGTACCTGCTTGAACATTGTAACGTCACACACTCGTGCACACCATATGTACAGTTCAAAATGTTGTTCTCTTATTTTCGTTAGATTAGGTAGGATTTGGACGTACTCCAACACGTCTTCAGGAGTACGCGGGGGCAGGCCGGGCCCCACTGCCATCGTGGCCCCTAAATCAAACAATACATAAGACGGCTCGCCAACGAATTTTAAACCCGACTTAACCTAAACTAACTCAACCCAACCTAATGCAACCCAACTCAACCTTACCCTACCCAACCAAATCCATCTCAACCCAACCGAGCTCAACACAGTCTAACCCATAGCTAATGCATGCTAACCTAACAATATATACAATTTTAAAAAAGAAAACGATTTTTGTCGAATCGTGTTGTGTACGACTTGACCATATCCAGCACCTGCTCCCTGTCGCTACCGAGGGCAACACTGCTTGTCAACAATAGACCTGATCTTATTAATAAATTAGTTCACCTTATTATACCGTAACCTAAATATGGACGCCACTTATACTGTTTATAGTAATCATGGTAACATACACCCGCTGGTGTATGTTGATGTGTTGTTACTGAGCATACAGTGTGAGTCATTCAGTAACAACATCGTTGGAGTAAATGTTGCGGTAATCATGTCAAGAATAATAGTGGGAGGGTCAACCCTAGTTTAAGGAGGAATTCCTTCGGTGGTTGGCTTATGTTCTTGTAACATCATTGAAATTCCCTATATATATTTTTATGGAATGTGAAAACGCTGTTGAATGCGTTTGAAGAAAATTTTATTATTAGTCAAGGAATTATTTCACATCCTGGTGCCGGCCAGAGATAATATATATATATATATATATATATATATATATATATATATATATATATATATATATATATATATATATATATATATATATATATATATATATCCGCAAAGCTTTTCAAGTGTGTTGATTTATGTAATATCCTAAAAGTCTCAATTTATGAGTCTTCCTGGAGTACTTATTCGGCTATTACCACTGTGGCCTCTCTCGTCTGTTGGAGAACACTTGGCTCCCACCAGTCAGGTGGTCATTGTGATAGGCCTCGACGATATAGGGGAGAGACAGCTTGCTGAGAGAATATCTAGGTCTTCCAAATGGTTTACAGTGGAGTAATTGAATTAAAGGTCAGCATTATTATTGTCACATGTTGGACGCCGTCTACAGAGTGCTCCAACACGCCCTGTAACCTTTTGTCATCTTCGACAAGTCCTGGAGTCCTCTCTGTTCTGAATACTTCCTGAAGCTCTTTCTCCACTCCGACAGGTCCTGGAGTCTTTTCTCTGCTCCGGCACGTCCTGCAGCCCTCTGCTCCGACATGGCCTGGAGCCCTTTTTCTGCTTTTACATGTTTTTTAACTCTGCTCCGACACTTCCTGGACCCCCTCCCTTTTGCCCTGACACGTCCTGGAGCCCTTTCGGTTCTGACACGTCCTTGCACTCTTTCAGTGCTCCGACACGTCTGCTCTGACTTGTCCTTAAGCCCTCTCTGTCTTTGAGCCGACACGTCTTGGAGTCCTCTCTCAGCTCCGACACATCCTTGAGTTCTTTCAATGCTCTGACACATCCTGGACCCCTCTCTGCTCTGATACGACCTAGAGCCTTCTTTCTCCATTTCGGCACATCCTAGAACATTTTCCATTCCAGATGTTGTGTGCCCATTCTCTCAACTTCAACGTGTTCTGGAGCCTCCTTTCCACTCCGACACATCCTGAAGCCCCTTTCCAATCTGACACGCTCTGAAACCCACCTTCTCCACTTCAACATGTCCTGGAAAGGAAGAGAACTATCAGGAGAATGTGCCAGGCCATTATGACTATAAAACATTTGAAAGAGATTAGGATAAAGATTTGATGGGACATGGGGAAGGAATGGTGTCTAAACTCTTGGACGGTCCGGGATTGAACGTGCTAAAATTCTAGTGCACATTTTTGTTCAAATGACCAACTGTGTATGATTAAATGACAATGATAGTACATATCTGGTTCGAAGGACCATCTGTGGGAGATATTTAGCCTCAGTCTTTGATAAGAGATCCAGATGAGGCTCATTAACCTTCTCACCCATGACCATATACTGTGAGCTTCCACTAGAGGTATACCTTTTCTGTTCCAACACACACAAGAAATACAGTTGAACACAGCTTATTTTATCTAGCTAATTATTTAGTTAATCATTCAGCTGATACTTAGGTACAGTAAAATTAGGTAGAAACCCATATTAATCTAATACTTCTAGTGATTCATCTTATAGGGAATGGACACAAAATATTGGGGGGGGGTATCAATCTCAAAATATTTGTTCCTACACCATAATCCAAGGCTCTAGTTACTTGGGGGGGGGGGAAGAGTGGTTATAAACTTACCTGCACATCTGGTTAAATGGAACTTTGGGGGACATAATTTCTTGACTGACAATGATGTTCTCTTGTGTTGATGGGCACATCAAAGTTAACATGATGGGAATATCAGCACTGTGATTAGTTTCTCTATGAATTAATTCCTTTGTAGCAGATTTTACTTCGTACACACATATTAATAAATATGTATTGTAATAATACTGGTTTGAAAACAAATTCATCATGAGGTCTTGAGAAACATGTTTTGACAGAATCAGATATAACCTTTGATCCGGACTCAGTTCTAGCTAATGAATTGTTTATATATTTTCACACTCAATTTACTGTTTAGAGTGATTGAAAGACAAAATTATTATAATTTGAGTAGCTGAATTGTTCCCCAAGTACTTTTAAGAACTTAGTTGAAGGCTAATGATGGAAAACTTCAGTCCTGGTATCATATTGAAAGTATTCCTCAGTTAGTCTTCAATAATTATAGTATTCCCTCACATATGTATTTATAGATATATTGTGTTTATTCAGCATCAGTGACCGTGTTTGGGTACCCAATCATTTTTTATAAATTAATCAATTAAGGAATCATGATTGAGATGAATGATACACCTCCTTAGTTTTTTTATTACCTTAGAGGGAAGATAAATATTTAATAAATACTTTTTATATATACTATTTATATATATGTATATATACAAAATATACTTTTCTGAGTATATTTTGTTTTCCTCTATGCCTTTTAAATTTGCATTAGTGTCATAGCTATTTGATAAAGGATCATAGAATACTGTATTCATTTTGTAATGTATAATGAAAATTGCTTGAGAATTAGCTGTACCGCCCTTGCCAACCTACAAGCACCTGTTTAATCATACCATGTGTTTCCAGTCAAAGCATCATCCCATTCATTAAGTCTTGAGTTACAGTGGCTTTCAGGATAACAGGTCCACATCGTCAGAACCGGATATTTTCCTGACCCCGTGCTGTGTCAGGAAATGCATTTCATGACCGGTAAATGAATGCCTGGGAATCTCTCGTTTAGCTTTCCAATCCCCCTCATTTGGTTTGCTATTTTTCTCTGTTTTCTGTGTACCTCCCTGTTATAGAGCAGTTGACTTGGTTAAATTGTGTGGAGTAAAATGGTGAAAAATTATTAACTGGAGTTATTATGCACTGAGAGTTTAATATTCATGCAAATAATAATTTGAATTGCAATTGATTATAGAGAGGGAATTAAACACTTATATAGCCATGGTACTTGTGCGTCTTCATGTACAATAGCTCTTTAGGTCCTTATCCTTAATGCTGCTTACTCTGGACATTGATTAATAACAAAGTTCAGTGTACAATTTTATTTAAATACATTGATCGTAAAATAGTATATAGTATAAAAGTGGTGGTAGAGTATTACTCCTTTTCCTGAACACTATGTTCAAAAGCAGCACTTCATGAAGTATTTTCTTACAACATTATTCTTAGTGTTATCTTCATTTTGAAGCGATGAGTTCAAGAATTCAAATATCTGCTATTCTTTATCTCATTTCTTCGGTGCTAACTTAATCGCGGTCACCTTTCGCCTCTTTATCCGAGGGCGTTGAAGGGTCGAGCAGGCTCAGGATAGTTGTAGCCGGTGTTACAGTCAGGCTCTACAGTCTTGGTGGCCGTCACCGTATTGTACTGAGGATTGTAGACGGTGGAGGTGACGTAGTTGGTGTTGTAGATGGTTCTGGTGTCATATTCGGTGCGGGTCTGGCCTGGCAGCTGCTGGGTGCGGACGGAGGTTCTGGTGACGGTGATGTACTGGGTCTGAGCGGGAAGGTTGACCACAGAGGGGACCACCTGCTGGGTGTAGATGGTTGTGGGCACCACCTGTGTTGATACCTGAGTCCTCACTACTTCTTGTGGAACGGTAACGGTCCTGGTAATGTACTCTGGCACCTGCTGTGTACTGTAGTAGGTGGAGACCACCTGCTGTACCTGGGTGCGGGTCACGTACTGTGTCTGGGTGTTGGTGACCACCACCTGGGAGTAGATGGTGGTGGTGACAGGAACCACCTGGGTGGAAGTGATGTACTTAGTCTGGCCTGGCTGGGTGATGGTCTGGGTGACGACGTTGGTCCTGATAACTTGTGTTGTACTGTACACGTCCTGAGCGGGCACCACCACGGTGGAGTAGATGGTGCTGTACTGGGTACTGTCTATGGTGCGGGTCTTTCCAGGAAGCTGCACGGTGCTGGTCACATACTGGGTCTGGTAGACTGTGCTGATTACCTGCTGAGGAACCACCTGTGTAGAAACTACAGTCCTGGTAACTGTTGATGGTATTTGCTGAATGCGGGTCGAGTATACGGTCTGGTATTGAACCTGTGTGCTGACGACTTGTTGCGTCCGTGTGACGTAGTTGACCTGGGGAGGTAGAGTGATGACCTGTGTGCGGACGTTGTCCTGGGTACGGGTGACGGTCACTGTCTGGTACTGGATGGACGGCACCACTTGGGTTCTGACGATCTCGGAGTAGACGGTGGTGTAGACCTGCTGAGTGCGTACAGATGTCTGGGTGACGTATTGTACGTCACTTACATATACAGTAGATGGCACGACCACTGTGGAATACTGAACTTGAGTGCTGTAGATTACAGACGGCTGGCAGTTTTCTGCTTCCTTTGGCGGTAAATACGACAAGGACGACTGAAGATCAATGCTGTTGCCAAAGAGCTGCCTTCGAGGTCTCTCGACTGAAGCCCCGAGCGCGCCGCCCAGCAGCAGTGTCACCAGAAGAACTCGCATCCTGTAGGCTGGAAAACACCTCAGAATAAAATTTCTACACAGAAGTAATTTATTATATAATTAAACAGAACAAATAAAAGTAGCTTCGTTTCTTAATACTTACTTGTTAGTATGTATACAGGAATTACTCTTTGTTGATGTAAAGTAAATAAAAGCAGTGGATAAGAACATTTATAGTGTATTTTTCAATTACATAAATACAAAATCGTATATAGAAAGATGGTAACAGATTACTCCAGTTTGATACGAAGTGTGTTGTATACAATGAAAACGCTTCACGTAGTGCCGTCTCCTGTATGTTGCAGTGGCGGAGCCAACATGTTGGTCTTAGTCTAGAATAATTATAGAAGCAACTGCCGCATTCAGTTAGAAGTTGAAAGGAACTGCAGGAGCGTCGTAGTTGTATCCTGTCTTGCCACAGGTGGCTGTAATGGTCTGTGTGACGGTGACTTGTCGTGGCTGGTTGACTGTCTGGTAGACGACCTGTTGTTGCTGCTGTGTCTGAACCACCTGTTGGGTCACCACGCGGTCCTGGCCAGGCACTTGGACCACCGAGGTCCGGGTTTCCTCACGGGTCTGGACCACAGGGGCGGGGGTGACATATTGGGTCTGGACCACGGTCTGCACCTGAGTGAAGGCTTGCACTCGGGTCTGGTAAATGGTGGTGTAGATGGTAGTGGGCACCACCTGGGTTTTCACCACCTCCTGAGGAACCACTTGGGTGCTGACTTGAGTCTGAGTGACAACGTTGGTGCTGGTGACCACTTGCTCGCGGGTAGTGTAAGCATTTTCGTAACGGGTGTTGACGGAAGTGTAAGGGATGACTTGTTGACTTTGAACCACGCTCGTCTTGACAACATCCTGTCCCTGGTAGACGCTTGTCCTTACCACTTGTTGCACGCGCGTCGACGTAACGTAACGCGTGTTGGCCGGTTGTTGACGTCTGACGATGGAGGTCTGAACCACAGTTTGGACCCTGGTTCGTACTACGTCACGGCCTGGGACTGACACGACTCTTGTTTGCTGTTGTGTTTGAGTCTGGTATTTTGTGACGAGCTGAGGGACTCTTTGCACCTGTGTGCTAGTCACCTCCACAGGTACGACCTGTGTTTGTACCTGTGTGCTGGTGACGTAACTGACCTGTGGCACTACACGTGTTGATGTGACATAAACAACTTCCTGACGTGGTGGGCTTGGAACAGTTTGTGTCACAACTCTGTTATTGAACACGGTGGTTGTGCGCTGGACCACACTGGTCTGGTACTGGACCTGTGTCTGAACGCGAGTCTGGAAAAGGGTAGTTGGTACGACCTGTTGTGTGACCAGGGTGGTGGTGGTGTACTGTGTGTTGATCTGGGTTACGGTCTGGACGTTGACGGAAGTCTGGACGCGAGTGTCGTAGACGACCGAGGTAATGGGTGCAACCTGACACGTCTGGTCGCTTGGGGAGGGTGGTAGATAACCGTTGTCAGGAATTGGATAGTTGTATCCCTGAGGCGAGGCGGAAGCCAGGGTCGCCACCAGCAGCGTCGCCGTCAAACGCCACATCCTGCAAAGAGAAATGCCACAGGTTAGAGCAGCGGTGATTGGAACCCCCGCGTCTCGGCAACTCATTTGGGAATAAAGTCCAATCACGCGCCGCTCCCTCTGTGCAATTTCTCTATGCTTTGTGGGCTGACCCGAGAGGACTTTATCGCCCAGATGAGCCGCGAGACGCTGACCTGGTCCTTGTGTAGCTCATTGTAGTAGAATACACCATTAAGAGTTATTGGAGAGCAAGAGACGGTGTAGGAAGAAGCAGGAGATCGTGTAGAGGGAGCAGGAGATAGAGAAGGAAGACGAGATTCATTTTAAGAAGTGATAGTAATAAGACATCTACTATACTTCAGCTTTATTTTGACCATGTTAAGTCCTATTAAGATTAAGCAGCAAAGTTTTTGAGCGCTGGACTGTGGAACGGACTTGAATTCATTGGAACTTGTACAGAAAAGAGTGGAAAATTTAATGAGAGGATCTGGAATTTGAGAGATTAAAGAGATTAAGAAAGCTGAATTTTAATTTTACAGAAAGGTGAAGAATAATAGGTAGCGTGATTGACGTATTCAAATGGATGAAGTGTATAATAAGAGGTGGGAGGATAATAATGGAGGTGCTTATTATACGGAACAGAATACTAAACACTCGATACTAATTGAATTAGTTTAGATCCAGAAAAGAGTTGGGTAAATATGGGTTTGAGTATATGGTTGTTGATTTACGGAACATATTACCAGGTAAGACAATAAACGTTGGAGCATACGGGTGTACCAAGCGAAGGGAAGACACACGAATGAGTTTGGGTATAAACAGATGCTGCTTTTCATGAGCCATTAGGCCATCTGCAGTTTTATTATTACGAGGTCTTATAAAATGTATTTTCAAAACGGAATGAAATGCTTAAACTATCCAACCAAAAACCAGCTGGGAACAATGCCTTAACATTAGAGATTTTTGTGTTGAAAAAAGTATAGGTAAACATTAATTCGACACTAAGAGTCGTAGACAAGTGGAGCAGACAGTCAGGTAATCATAAACTGGAAACTCCTTGGCAAGTTAAAGAAAAAGAGGGTAGTCAGATACGAGAATGAATATAATTGGGTTATACATATGGCTTGTCTTGCACGTGTCAGTAGGCCTACTGTAATATTGTTTTTATGTCTTATGTCTGAAAGCAGCAGACATGAAGGTGGCATATCGCGAGGTGAAGTAGTGATGTCATTTGCATGGACACGCGCTTACACCTGGTATTATTACCGAGGTGACATTGAGACTAGGTGTGGCGGGGCGTCACCTGCCTTGACCTGCCACAGAGTGTCATTTGTGGGCCCCCCCCCCATAACACCGCTGTCAGCGCCGCCCGACACCCCGACACCCGTCACCCTGACACTCATCACACCGACACCCGTCACCCCGACACCCGTCACACCCACATCAGCTTCATAAATTCACCCGTCACAGTAACACCTCGCAGCCCCGCCCACTAACTTCACCTCTACACCCGTCACTCTCACACACAACACTGTGCTGCCTGCCATCTTGACCCCCCCCACAAACAGTGACATACTTCTGTTGACAGTGACATATGCTGGTGTTTACAGTGACATACTGGCGTTGACAGTGACATTTGCAGATGTTTACAATGACGTTCGGGTGTTTACAATGACATTATGGTGTTGACAGTGACATATGCTAGTATTTATAATGACGTCCTGGTGTTTAGAGTGACATGCTGGTGTTGACAGTGATATGTTGGTGTTTACAATGACATACTGGTGTTGACAGTGTCATGCTGGTATTAACGTGACATATTGGTTGTTGGCAGTGACATGTTGGTATTGACAGACATATGCCATCAAGCTAGCTACTGCTGAAATGAAGAATTAAAAAAAGTAGGAGTAGTTACAAAACTAAGGACATGTCGAGTAGGAAAACACAAGAGGGTGATAAAGGAGAGAATGTGTGAATGAGAGACGAGGGGCGGTGCCCTCGGAAGACCAAGAGGACGTGGGGGGAATGTTAAGGGTGGTGGGGAGAGAGGAGGGGGGGGGGACGCTTAACAGTGTGAGACGCTTCAAGATAGAGGGTACGGGGTGGGGGGAGTGGTGAGGGGGGAAGAGGAGAAAATGGGAACTTGAGAGGATAGACTACCTTAGATGTAATTTAAGGTTAGGATGAAAATGTGGTGGCTATAGAGGGAGGGGGAGGGGGATAGACAAGGGAAGAGGGAGGGAAAGAGAGCGTGTTGAAGCTGCCAAGGTAGGTGTAATAAAAAAAAAGAGAGTACAGAATGAGATGAGCGAGAGGTGGTGGTGGGGGGATGGTTGCAGAGAGAGAGAGGGAGGCAGCAGGAGAGGTGGGATGGTGGGAGAGAGGGAGGGACGAAGTGGTTAATGTTGGTGGGATGGTTGGCGAGTGGTTACATCACCGGGCAAGGAAGGGTTGACGGTTGGCAGCGCTCCAGCATATGTGAAGCCTTAAGGGGGTCACCCTTTACACACACATGGCCCGCTAGATAGAGTGCTGCCCTCGCCTCTACCTTACTGTTAATCATACTGATATTACCATCACTCTCTTCATCACCATCATCATCTTGAGGTGATCTGGAGATGATTTTAGGGCTTAGCGTCCCCGCGGCCCGGTCCTAGACCAGGCCTCCTTTTTTGTTACACATCCCCAGGAAGCAGCCCCTAGCAGCTGTCTAACTCCCAGGTACCTATTTACTGCTAGGTAACATGGGGCATCAGGGTGAAAGAAACTCTGCCCATATGTCTCCGCCTCCACCGGGGATCGAACCCGGAACCTCAAGACTACGAATCAGAAGCGCTCTCCACTCAGCTGTCAATCCCCTGACATTATCCTTTCATCACCATCAGTTTTAGTTAGTTTAGTTCATTTATTATGCACCCCATACCCATCTTGTGGGCGGTAGTGGAAAGGGTTACAGAGGCACACAATAGGTTCAGGGACTGAACCCCATAATTCATTTAGCTAAGCAAGTTATAATCTTGATGAGCTAGTTACAAAATTCAGTATAAGTCGTCACATCAACAATGGGTTCGAGATAGACCACAAGACCGATCGATCGGTCTTGGACCGATGTGGTGGATCGACCACCACATCGATCGATCGATGATCATCACCATCATCATTCCTTCATCACTATCATCATCCCTTCACCATCATCATCCCTTCACCATTATCATCCCTTCATCACCATCATCGATCTCTTCATCATTATTGAATCGCCATTTTTTACCGTAAGAGATTTACCGCCATTTTTTATCGTGTCTCGTGGACACTAAAACCACTCTCACTCTCACTCTCTGGTGGGTGAGAGTGAGAGTGTCTGGTGGTGGGTGAGAGTGAGAGTGTCTGGTGGTGAGTGAGAGTGTGAGTGTCTGGTGGTGGGTGAGAGTGGTCGGTAAGTTGCCAAGTATGGCGGGAGAGAGAGAGGCTAGAGTGGCGGTGAATGCAGATTTATTAGAACGTTGTGGAGTAATTGTCTGGAGGAAGAGTGTCAAGAGGCGGAGGGAGGAAGAGTGTCAAGAGGAGGAGAGAGGAAGAGTGTCAAGAGGCGGAGGGAGGAAGAGTGTCAAGAGGAGGAGAGAGGAAGAGTGTCAAGAGGAGGAGAGAGGAAGAGTATCAAGAGGAGGAGAGAGGAAGAGTGTCAAGAGGAGGAGAGAGGAAGAGTGTCAAGAGGAGGAGAGAGGAAGAGTGTCAAGAGGAGGAGAGAGGAAGAGTATCAAGAGGAGGAGAGAGGAAGAGTGTCAAGAGGCGGAGGGAGGAAGAGTGTCAGGAGGAGGAGAGAGGAAGAGTGTCAAGAGGAGGAGAGAGGAAGAGTATCAAGAGGAGGAGAGAGGAAGAGTGTCAAGAGGAAACAGGAAGAGAAGCAAGATCAAACGGTAACTCGGAAACTATTGAATACAAATAAAAAACGGAAATGATGTGGAGAAGAACTTTATACGCAGGAGAAAAGAAGAGAAGATGCAGGAGGGGGGGGGAGGGGTACAAAAGAGCTAGAAGATTGTCACAAAAGATTAATATGACAGTCGACGTTGACGAGGTCGTCCTTACATACACTCTCGTTACCTTAACACGAAATAGTAATTTCATCTCCTTGTTAAACTTGAAAGGAATTGCAACAGTGAAAAAATATGTAAAAGAGAAATGATCACTTCATTTAGCTGCCAAAAATGAATAAAGAATGTTAATGGTCGAGCGAACAACGCAATGTCATGTTGTGCCATAAGGGGTAAGTTTAGGCAAGAGCGGGGCGTTGGTGGATATACCCGGATGGTGGTGGATATCCCCCCCCCCCCACCGCCCCCTCCAACTAATCCATGTCGTCTATGTATTCCTTGAGATGTCGTTAATGTCTCGTTTGCCGCGTGTGTCTATGTTTGGGCAAGTGTGGAGAAGCTCGGGGCGTGGTGGTGGAGCCAGACACTGCCAGCCAGCCCACGCCGCGATGTGTGGATCACTTCCTGGCCTTCGTTGAAATCACCTCGGAAGTTTTGATTTGACTTTATAAGTGTTGATATCTTTGTTAGATGCATTAATATTATTTATATCTGATGAACACATTGATGTTTCATTATATCTGGTGATGAATTATATATATATATATATATATATATATATATATATATATATATATATATATATATATATATATATATATATATATATATATATATAATTCATCATCAGATATATATATGTGTGTGTGTGTGTGTGTGTGTGTGTGTGTGTGTGTGTGTGTGTGTGTGTGTGTGTGTGTGTGTGTGTGTGTGTGTGTGTGTGTGTAAATCAATCACGAAAATTAACACGTGATGAAAAATGTGACTGTCAGACCACGAAGGAAGGATTGAAACAGGAATTTCCTTAAGTACTTTCGTATTTAATAATATATCTTCAGAAGGGTCTGTTCACCCTTTTGAAGATGTATTATTAAAAACGAAAGTACTTAAGGAAATTCCTGTTTCATTCCTTCGTGGTCTGACACTGTCATATATATATATATATATATATATATATATATATATATATATATATATATATATATATATATATATATATATATATATATATATATACATATACATACATACATACATACATACATAAAGTACTTTCGATTTCACTTTAATTCTGGCGTCAACCATTAATGAGTTACAAACGGACACACAATAGTGGACACTCGCGGCGGCTCTCAACACCCAGCACACGCACCAAATAACGTCACTTCTCATTTCCAAAACAGTGTGATAGCTTCCAAGATCAAGTTAGTTTTGGGAGTCGACATTCACAGAGGGTTTGGGCGGCACATACCTTCAGTAGTGTGAGAGTAGCGTGGGGGTATGGTGGAGACCTGGACACTAGGCTGAATTCAGCAACTCTGCCCACCGTCCGCGGTCTACCCGGTATATATACAGGAGGCTAGGGGGGAAGGGCTGGTCTTCTTTCATCACTTTGTTTTTTTTAGTTAGGTATTCTAGTCCTGATCAAGTTCCTGAGGGACACGCCAGGACGGGGAGGGGCCGCTGGAGGGTTATCCCGTAAGACAGGTGCCGTCTCTCACAATGTCCTGCCTCATTTTTCCTCTCATTAAAACCCTACATGTACTGTGGAAAAACATTGGAGGGGTTAGGTTATTGGATATAATTCATGTTATGACTGCAGTTTGACTCATGTTTGGTGATGGTACGTGAAAAACAATACTGGATGGTATTGGCGGTGTGTGGTAACCCAAGGTCGGCTGCAGGTCGGGAAAGATGCTCTGACCAATCACAGAGCACTTTAACACTCCACTAACCCCGCCCGCCCGCCCGTCTTCACAGTACGTACAAGAAAACGCCATATAACCTACTATATGGCGCTTAGTGAGAATATTTCGCACATGTTTATTGACTTGAGCCTTGGCTGGAGCACTGAAATGCTCGTGGCGTGGCTAGGGCAGAGGCCAGACCATCATCAGGGTTTGTTGATCAGTAGAGGAGTGTGTTCCATTGACATCACATCTGACCACGTGGTCCTCTGGTACGGGATAGGCTTCAGATGGAGGCAAGACTTCTTTGGTGGAGGACAGGCTCCTGGTGCTCTGGTATCCTAGTGGAAGGAAGGAAGAATGGGTCCTGAAGGTTGGAAGGCTCCAGGTGGAGGCAACGCTCCACGTGCAAGAAAGGGTCCTGGTGGAGGGAAGGCTCCAGGTGGAGGGAAGGCTCCTGGTGGAGGCAACGCTCCACGTGCAAGAAAGGGTCCAGGTGGAGGGAAGGCTGCAGGTGGAGGGAAGGCTGCAGGTGGAGGGAAAGATGCAGGTGGAGGAAAGGCTCCAGGTGGAGGGAAGGCTCCAGGTGGAGGGAAAGATGCAGGTGGAGGGAAAGATGCAGGTGGAGGGAAGGCTCCAGGTGGAGGGAAGGCTGCAGGTGGAGGGAAGGCTGCAGGTGGAAAGAAGGCTGCAGGTGGAGGGAAGGCTGCAGGTGGAGGGAAGGCTCCAGGTGGAGGGAAGGCTGCAGGTGGAGGGAAGGCTGCAGGTGGAGGGAAGGCTCCAGGTGGAGGGAAGGCTCCAGGTGGAGGGAAGGCTGCAGGTGGAGGGAAGGCTCCAGGTGGAGGGAAGGCTCCAAAACTCTTAGTGTCCACTTGCGGGGTCACAGCTGATGGCTTGTCTGGTGTGCGCTCAGCTGTGAAATTCAGACTAAACTTTCCAGTTTTTTTCATATTTTTGTCCCCAATATTCTGGTGAAAACATTTTTAAATTGTACTCTTAGGTGGACCGGAATTCTTAAGGTCAATATTAAGTGTCCCATTCACCTGGGTTGTGTGTCTCCTTTTAATATTAAGTATATTTCCTTTTTTGGGTACTTTAGGCCTACTTTAAGGCGAGCGGGTTTTCCATTTTATTTTTTTTTCTAATAAGAGGATTTTTTAGAAAATACTTAGCCAGTATGACTATAGCACTTGGAAGGGATAGGAGGACTCGGAGCTGGGATAGGACCCAGGGGAAGAAACGGTGCCCAACCAATTGCACCATCGGGGATCGAACGCCGATCTGCATGAAACAAGGCCATTGTCGATTCATTTGTTTAGCTTAGAATTATCCATTACTTGAGTTATTTATTAAATTTAGAAATCTCTCTCTCTCTCTCTCTCTCTCTCTCTCTCTCTCTCTCTATATATATATATATATATATATATATATATATATATATATATATATATATGTCGTACCTAATAGCCAGAACGCACTTCTCAGCCTACTATTCAAGGCCCGATTTGCCTAATAAGCCAAGTTTTCATGAATTATTGTTTTTACTATCTACCTAACCTACCTAACCTAACCTAACCTAGCTTTTTTCTCTACCTAACCTAACCTCACCTATAAATATAGGTTAGGTTAGGTTAGGTAGGGTAGGTTAGGTTCGGTCATATATCTACGTTAATTTTAACCTCCAATAAAAATAGGTAACCTCATACATAGAGAAAAGGGTTAGGTTAGGTTTTCATAAGTTAAAAACTATAGTAAAATATTAATTCAGGAAAACTTGGCTTATTAGGCAAATCGGGCCTTGAATAGTAGGCTGAGAAGTGAGTTCTGGCTATTAGGTACGACATATATATATATATATATATATATATATATATATATATATATATATATATATATATATTAGTATATTAGTATATTTTGGTAGCAGTCTTTCCTGTAGACATATATTATTAAATATGACCGAAAAAGTAAGATTAATAATTCTAACACGAATTTTCTCAATCTTTCGTACATTTCTTTTCACTGTTGGAGGTAAATCAAAAATCAATTCTCCAAAATTCATTTTTATTTCTAGTCTGACGCGACACGAGCGCGTTTCGTAAAACTTTTTACATTTTCAAAGACTTTAGTTTACAAATACACAACTGAATAGAACTTACGCATCTCCGACTTTGTTTATATCTGCATTTGAGAGAGGTGGATGGGGTGAGGTGGCATTAATAGGGTATTAATTTCATCAACACAAGACAGAACAAGAGGTGGCATTAATAGGGTATTAATTTCATCAACACAAGACAGAACACGAAACAATGGGTATTGAATAGAAGTGATTGTAGAAAGCCTATTGGTCCATATTTCTTGATGCTTCTATAGCATCATAGTATAGTAAACTAAAGTCTTTGAAAATGTAATAAGTTTTACAAAACGCGCTCGTGTCGCGTCAGACTAGAAATAAAAATGATATTTTAGAGAATTGATTTTTGATTTACCTCCAACAGTGAAAAGAAATTACGAAAGGTTAGGTAAATTCGGTGTTAAAAAACATTAATCTTGAAAACTTTTATTAGGCAAATCGAGCCTAATAGTAGGCTGATAGTGCGTATGGCTATTATATACCACATATATATATATATATATATATATATATATATATATATATATATATATATATATATATATATATATATATATATATATATATATATATATATACCAAAAGAAGTGTGTTTTTGTTCCCAGTAGCTGAATCTTAAACAACAACAACACCGGGATGATAGGCCTAAACTCAACACCAACACCTGTCATTCAGCCTCGTCAATATTGATAGCGCCAATTAAACAGTTATCCCCTGTTTTCATTTTAACTCTTTCTCAAATTAAAGTATTTTCGTTTCCACCGCACTTCGGCTCCTACAGTGTACAAAACACAGGACATGAGGAAACTGCAGATAGTCATTATAGCCCGTGGAAGATATTTATAAACAACCAAACCTACTCGTATATACGTCTAACCCACGCTTGAAACAATTCAGCGCTCCCACGACTAGTAAGTTGCCTACTTAAACTAATACTCCTATATGTTTGAGCCTCGCTTCTTGCAAGTATAGGCGCTCCGTCTCGACGGCTGAGTGATTGGTCACCTTTCCTTCTCTCTGCCCTCGTAACCCTTCCAAGTGTTACACAGTGATACTTTCTTAGCACCTCCTCATAATTACCTACCTACCTGTATCTCTTTAAGGGCAAGACTAAAGCAACCTCGCCACCTGCCTCGTGCAGGCGATCCTTGCAGCGATAACATATCTTAACTCGGATGCTGACCTCTCGATAATGAGTATACTTAAGTCTCGCCACAGTGTAGGTCCTTCGGCTTTAGAGGTCGCTTTTATCGTAAACAATCTAATATAAGTAATATTCAACGACTCGTAGATAATTTAGAAAACTGGACCCTGAGTGTCTTAGCGATGGAAGAATGTCAGAATATGAGTTGTATAGCATGAATATATTATGGTTGATATGATAATGTATTATTATTATTCTTTGTATATGCTTTAGAATGATCATAATAATAATATCGTTGATAATAATGATAATTATAATAATAGCAATAACAACAAACATCTTTATTGCCTAACAAGTCCTGGACCAACTATGCAAGGTTATAATTTGTTGCAACTTGAATTATATATGTCCCCGTAATTGTCCAGTAGTTTAATCCAAAGTCACGGTCAACTCTAACCTCAAGTCCAATATTTTCGTCTTAAGCGCCCGTGAATGGGGACATTTATCTTGGGAAACAATATAATAAACTTCACAGATTGGGTGTTAATGTCATAAATTAGTCTTAAGCGTCTTAATTTTATTTAGAATGCACGACTCTCGTCTTAATGGTATGCTCGTATCAAATAATCTTTGAATTAAGGTCATGGGGATCATTCATCAGAGGGAGAGATAGGCTAAGAACTTGTTGGGTAAACAGTCTCAAGGAACGAAGCTTGAACAGTGTAAGGCAAAGGGTTCCCTGAAACATTTGTTTCTCTATTTTCATATTTCATGGAACGAGTACACGAGTTTCTGTTCACTCGTGTTTCCTGAAACTAGTACACGATCCTTGTGGACACACACTGCAACAACCGGTCCAGCTTTCTTGAAAATTCCACTGGCCTGACAAGTTTCGAATGGGGTGACACTAGCTGTCCCAGGGTGGTGCCAGAGAGCCGTTGTTGGCACAGGTGTGAGTAAGAGGGTGTGGCACGGGTGGAAAGAGATAAGTTTAGTTAATTAAATATGCACCCACCATATTATCCTGTGAGAGGTAGTGGACCCCATACCCAACCTGTGAGCGGCAGAGGACCCCATATCCAACCTGTGAGCAGCAGAGGACCCCATACCCAACCTGTGAGCGGTAGTGGACCCCATACCCAACCTGTGAGCGGTAGAGGACCCCATACCCAACCTGTGAGAGGTAGAGGACCCCATATCCAACCTGTGAGCAGCAGAGGACCCCATACCCAACCTGTGAGCGGTAGTGGACCCCATACCCAACCTGTGAGCGGTAGAGTACCCCATACCCAACCTGTGAGAGGTAGAGGACCCCATATCCAACCTGTGAGCAGCAGAGGACCCCATACCCAACC